GATATAACTTATTATAGAAAACAGGGGACTTTATATTATTTATTGTACTATACATTTGTTTGAAAACAAGTAAAATTTGAAAAGAAGGGATATTGTTATAGGTTCACTATTTGTTTCTAGTTAATTCGGATGGATATCTTAGGTATTTATTTATTATATAGTTATTATCACTCCGCGTGCCTTCTTCTCTCCTTGTCGAATATTATATATCATATCTAGTACCCACCAGAACCCGTACCAGCTCCATGATACTTAGATCTAGAGCTATAGAACTAGAACTCTATACTAAAAAGGAAAGCCTGAGGTCTAAAAGAATCATCTTATTATACTATATAAGGTGTATGAGCTAGTGGATGGAAGAGAGCCGTCTGTTCCGTTATATTAAAGTAGATTTATTTTAAGTATAATTACTTAGTAGTTCTACTACTATTATTATTATACTTATAAACGAATTGCCAAGAGAAAATATTGCTAATTCGAGACTTACTAATAGAAATATAAATATATATTAAGCAAAATTATATAGTTACGTTGAATTAAGGTTATAGAAGATGATGGAAATTGAGCCTTAGGGTCTGAAAATTAAATTGTAAAGTCTACGATTTCTCGAAGATTAGTCATCCAAATCAACCAATGATAGAGAAGAGGCAGGTGCATTGCCTGGCAGAAACGTCACTGCCTCAAGGCGGTGACTACAAGCTGGGCGCGGCAGGAATCATTCAGAGGTTTTCCTCCTAATTGATTGAGAATGGGCAGGATCTTCCAATCAATGAAATGAAATAAACAAACAAATCTCAAAACCACTTCATCACTACACAAATCCCTATCACATTCATAATTCAAACAAACATCAACTTGTGTGCAACAAGTACTCGAGTAATATTACATACACATTCAACAAAATGATTTTTTCGCCTCTTCCTCTTTCTTCATTACCTGCCTGGTCCAAGTTGAACAATGTGGACTTTCTCGATACTGCTGTCTCATCTATGACACTTGAAATTGAAATGTCTGATCATTCAGAGGAAGTCGTTCAAAGGGGCATCATCACTACAAGAGCGCTGAGTTCAGTGGATACGTTCGATATCCCCACACTACTCGAGATCCCGAAAGAACTTGTACTGTGTAGAGAATTTTTATTGGAAGAGAGGAAACTAGATTCCCATTTCGAACAGTTGAGAGAATTGGTTGGGTGGAAGTCGTTTAGATTGGACATCATGTTATTCTTGTTGATGCAGATGACTATTGCAAGAAACAATACGCTTGTATGCACACATTGTTATCGACAAAAGGTAATTGTGAAGTCTTTCTGTTTCCATTCCATTTGAGATAAGGTCGTACTCTCAAACTGGAAAGTCATGCTAACTGACTTTGTAGCTTGACTGCTCTGTATTTGAAGGTAGTGAAACTGGGAAATGTGACAACTGTAACCTTGCAGGAGAACAAGAGTGTCTTTTATCTACCGTAACTTCACAAACGGAAGAAAACATAAACGTGGGGGTGAGTAATCCGTGGTCAGAGTATGTAAGATTCTTGCCGGAGACCCTTACGATTCCTACAATGTGGAATGACGCAGAAAGAATGCTTTTGATTGGAACATCCTTAGAAGTATGGTAGAAAGAAATCACACTTGCCACTATGTTAATTGCTGATTGTTCTCCCAGATTTCTGTCGATGGTAAGATGGGGCTTCTATCACAAGAATTCGAAGATCTGCGCGAGAAGACCATCGGAATACCTTGGTGTAACTCGTGTTGGTGGCAAGATGGATCATTAGAACCCTTGTTAATGTCGGACTGGATACGACTTGATGCTTGGTATAGATCAAGATCCTTAGAACTTCCAAGTTTCGGGGAAGTGATGGTGCCTTGTCTTGACATGGCCAATCATTCGTTTGAATCAAATGCATATTGGGACGAAACATCGAATGGCAATGTCTCACTTCTTCTTCGGCCGGATATGCAGCTTGACGAAAAAAATCAAATAACCATCAATTATGGAGATACTAAAAGTCATGCCGAGACTCTCTATAGTTATGGTTTCCAAGACAAAGGAAATAAATGTACAGCATTGGTGTTAAACGTGTCGCCACAAGTGATTGACCCTTTGCACAATGCAAAGGTTGCTGCAACTCATGAACGCCCAGTCGTTCGTATCTGTAGGGACGAGGATGGAGAAATTTCATGGGAAAGTCCTTATCTGTACTTCTTCTCTTTGAATGAAGAGGATGGTTTGGAGTTCAAAACTTTGCAAGAAGTTGATGGCTCGCATGGTTCACTATGCGTATTCTGGCAAGAAGCAGACGTTACGGAATCTGTCGACACATTTGAGACATTGATTAGTGGACACGAATTGGCGGATGTCTTCAAGGTTCGAGTATTAAGCTTACTGCATGATAGGATTCAACAGCAAGTCGCGCGTCTCTATGCGAGCACGCAGATGGCACATACTTTAGTAGATCAGGGAATGGTCTCCGTGGGCGCTCAAATTGAGGCCGATGGGTTGAGAGAGATAGAGACTGACGTGCTAGAGGTCGCTCTCGAGACTATCAGCGGACAGGTTTGTTGTATTCTAAACGTATCGTTCCAAGGAAAATGTTAATGATATGTATAGAAAACGGAACTACTCGAAACTGAAAGTGTTTGCCAATATCTCAGATCAATGTCTAGCAATGCCGAGCAGATCCCGGCTATGCCAGAACCCAAAGAAGAAGATGATTTCAGCTGAAGCACTTCAAATCCTGGTGCAATATTGTCTCTCTGGGGATTAGTCTGAAGCGTTTTTCAATTGCGAGGCAACATGATTATTGTAAACCATTGAAAAAAAATGGATCAAAATCTGTATGCTTTGATTCAAAATAGTATAGCTGCAGATCAGATGAAGGATTCCTGCCAATAAGAATACATAAGTTAGGTCTATCAAAACAACCTCATATTTCCATTCCTGCATTAGCGCGACCGAATCACTCGTACAGTGGTTGGTACGAACGTTTGTGCCCAGAACAAGTCACGGTTATAGCTGAAGCCGTACCGAAATTGATGCTAAACTTTCATCATGCTATCTTCCGTTCTTTCCCCCTCTTTTATCCGGCTCTTTTCACAATGCCGGATTCCGAAAAAGTTAAATTCGGTGCTAAAAACGTGGAATATATTTTACTTTTGGTTGCATTACGTTCTAGCTATTCCTGGCTTTTTGAATGAAAGTAAATGAAACGAGCTAAAAGCTTTCAGATGAAACTTTTAGGCTGATTACCATTGATTGAAACCCTTCAAATAAAGACGTTAGAGTGTCAATAGCTATCTAAGCAAGAATGAGGATAACTTGAAAATGAGTTATGTTTCTCCAAAGCTTTGAATGGCTATTTACTAGTAAGTAAAAGTAAAGATAGCTTCAACCCCTTTTTTAAAAACATTCGGGCTTGAAAGCTTGTAAAGATCTAAGAATGCGCCAAAGTTGAATTCGAATGTACAACTGGAGATAAGTGTATCATGGTTCTTTTGGGGCGCGTTCTTGGAAGACTCTCGTTGATAGATAATTACTGACTCTCCATTTTTCCAGTACTGAGCACTTGGAGGCGACGAATAGGGAGTTGACAAAATCACTTCGTGAGAAGGATGAGGAAATAGATAGGTATGCTATAGAATCGTAGCTGATCTTTGCAACAGCCTCCGTATCCCCTGCCTCAAGGAAACGCAAGTTCACAAACTTCGAAAGAGAATTATTTCCCCGTGACCCATACGCCAAATCATACAATACCACCTTCAGCGTCAATGTCAACGTCACATATCGGTCATCCAGGCCCAACTCCCCATGTCCCTCACTCGATGTACCAAGATGCGGAAATGGATTTATCAAATGGATATATATATATGCATGGTTCTTTAAATAATGACTCTACCAACATACGAAGTAGCATCTCTAATGGACAGGCACCTAATTTTATAGAACCAAATGAGATTGTTACTTTTAATACACCTCACACTCCTTGGGATCATCCCGTGCAGGCCAATATGACGTCTTCGAATCTGCACTATCCCTCCAGCCTTTTCAAATCTTCAACTAGAGGAGAGGAGAGGAGAGGATAAATGGAATTTCGAAGTTTCTGGTCTTTAATATTGGTATTCGTCTGAATATTGAAATTAGTTTGAAAAGCTCTGGGTGGAATTAAATGTACACGCTAGACTAGCCTGAGGCTTGAGGCTTGAGCTTCCCCGGATTTACCGGAAAGAGACTAGTGAGTTTCGGTGTACCTCGGCGATTATCACATGCATGAATGCGACCTCCTTCCTTGTGGAATCTGTGGAATCTGTTTGCGAATCTCACTCATACTTACTTACTTACATATATCTATTTGACCACCCACCTGAAACTGGATTTTGAGCATAAATCTGAATCTACGAAAAGATCAAAAAGTAAGGATAGGTCCATACTACGGTACGGCATATAAGCAAACCCAAATTCAACCAGAGGGTTCATTAGTTAGTAATTAAAATCATGTCTCTCAAAAACGGTATGCTCCTCCATTTTCCCATGGGCAACAAACACCCTTCCTCCTTTCCTCTACTTCCAATCCCCTTCCACTACTAACCCGCCCTAACCCTCTAGACGCCTTCCCCTCCTCTAGCGCCTTCGACGCCATCGCATCCTCGCTCTCCTCCCCCACTGAGCGCGCCGACGCCATCAAACAAGGCAACGCAATCTTTGCATTTACGCTCAAGAATTCGGCAGGGGAAACGGCAGATTGGCATATCGATCTCAAGCACGAAGGGAAGGTGGGGACGGGGCTGAGTGATAAGCCGTCGGTCACGCTGTCTATGAGTGATGCGGATTTTGGAAAACTGGTCGCGGGTAAGGCGAATGCGCAAAGGCTTTTTATGGGGGGGAAGTTGAAGGTTAGGGGGGATGTTATGATGGCGACGAGGTTGGAGGGGTTTTTGAAAAAGGTGCAGGGAGTGAAGGCGAAGTTGTAGGGGTGGGGACCATGAGGTGATGGGGGTAGAGATAGAGATAGAGCCTGCAGGGGAGTGGTTGGTTTTGACTTGCTTCATAAACAAGAGTCTGGGTATCTCACACGGCGATATCATATGACAGAAGCATTTGTTTTTGATATGGGGAAATGAGACTTTGTCCGAATAGAACATTTTGGATTTCGACATCAAGATAGTTTGCGGGTCTGACGAAAGAAGATACTGTTTAGTTCAACCATACTCATTATGTTATTACTCGTACTCATACTCCATAACCACACAAATCACAACCCCACAAGCTCCATCAACTCCATCAATTCCCTCTCCAATATTACATACAGAGCATCATTATAATCATCTAATCATCTGCCTGTCCTCGCCCCCTGTCTTCGCCCCTACCAAAAGAGCAGGCATAAATACATATCAACATAGAAAACTAAGAATCTAGCAAACTAATTAGTTGTTCATTCTTCGAGTAAGCAATAATGTAACGTTAGTCACTAAGAGAAGAGATTCTTGTTTTTTTGTGTGATCAATAATGTTATTTTATTTGTATGATTGTATAGATTGTATTTTTGAGAAGTATGGGGTGTGGAGTATGGAGTGTGGAGTGTGGGTTGAAGATGGATCGATGAATGAATGAATGAATGAATGATTGAATGCATCGTTTTTTATTTTTGGGGGAGAGGGGGAGTTCTGTTGGTGGGTTTGGTTTGGGTTGATATATAGGGTTTGAAGGGGAATGAATGGGGATGAGAATGAAGGGAGTGGGAGGGGGGTATGGGTGGTAATTTTATATGGATGTGTATATTGGGGAGCATTGAAGGAGGTAGATAGGTATAAAGCTCTCTCTGTCTTTTTACACACGCTTAATACCATTTACCACAAACATGAATAACACATAACACATATCACAATCCTGTACTCATATTTCCAAGATTCAAAGACGAGTCAGGACAATCAATCCAAAAGTAAATGATGGAAAAGTCAAAGAACGTCCACTGATGTATATGTATTTATGGTATATGCATAACGTGGTTTATCAGTGCCTCGCACACTTTTTCACTATTTTGCAACTCTTTAATTTAACACGCGTTTAATCAACAATCAACAATGAATAACACTTCAAAAGAAGCTCGGATTATCTTAGCTATTGAAGCTATTAATAAATCAAAAAAATGAATCATTGGAGTACTGCTAAACTTTATAATATCCCTGAAACAACACTTTGGAATCGAATAAACAGTTTAACCCTGTTACAAGAATATCGATTATTAACTCAAAAATTAACTAAATTAGAAAAAGAAGTAATTCTTCAATATATCCTTGATATAAATATACAAAGATTTGCTCCTCGATTGAGTAATATAAAAGATATAACAAATGATATTCTCGATACTCGTAGAGTATACCACATTGGAAAACTTTGGGTATATCGATTCGTACAATATCAACCAGAATTAAAGATATATTTTAATTATGTTTATAATTTCCAAAAAAACTTTTTACAAAAATCCAAAACTTATTGAAGAGTGGTTTCGATTAGTATTGAATATATAGGCGAAATATAATATTCTTGATTACAATTTCTACAATTTCAATGAAACAGGTTTTATAATAAGTATTATATGCCCTGGGATAGTTGTAACTAATATTGAACAATATAACAGAAACAAAGCAATATAACCAGGTAATCGAGAATGGACTATAATGATTGTATATATTAATAATATAAGAAAAAGCATTTCTCTATTTTTAATAATTAAAGGCAAAAATCATTTTTCGAGTTGATATACTGAAAGTGATTTCTTACTTGATTGAGTAATTAAAGTTACTAATAATAGATGGACAAACAATGAGATAGGTTTAGAGTGGATTAAATATTTCAATAAGTATACTATTACTCGAAAACAAGGTAGTTATCGAATGCTAGTATTAGACAGACACAAAAACCACAAATCGATTGCATTTCAAGAATATTGCAAAGAACACAATATTATAACTTTTTCATTACCTCCTCATTCTTTACATATTACTTAACCACTCGATGTTGAATATTTTAGTGTTTTAAAACGAATATATGGCCAATAAATTGAAGGGTATATTAAGGCTTATATCAACTATATCACCAAGGTCGAATTCCTTATAGCCTTCAAAGCAGTATACCTACAATCAATAACTGTTCAAAAATGGATTATCTGGATTCCGCGGAGCTGGATTAATACCCTTTGATTTTCAAACTGTTATTTCTAAGTTAGATATCAAATTACAAACATCTACACCTACCAGATTCTCCTCTGTAAAATTCAATCCTTGGGTTTCTCAAACATTTTATAACTCGAACAATACTCTTTCGTAATCAACCT